AAGATCAAAGGAAAAAAATATATCTATATCGGAGATTAGTTAAACAAAGGGAAAAAAATGAAGAAATGAACATTGAAAGAATAATGCAATGACAAGCCTTAGCACATTACAATAATTATATTTTTATTTTAGTTTATTAATATATCAGAGTCCTAGCCAAGATCTGCAACTTTCCATATGAGAGATGTGGTATAAGGATGAAATAAGAATCAGAGACAAATTTAATAATGCATGATGACAGAACTGGAAAGTGAATGTCTCTGGATGGTCAGAGACAGAGACATTTCAAACTAGCCACCATTTATTGAATACAAACAATATTCAGACAGATTTTCAGATGACTCAGAGGCTGGCAGTGATGCTGATGAAAATAATTTCACATGATTTAGAGGGCAGGTTATGATTACATGCTATGATTATATGATATTATGTTGATGTAGACAGTGGGGAGAGAGGGCTGGTTAAGAATGAGTTTGTCCTATCCCCAAAGGGAAAACGTATTTTGATTACTACTAGGTTGTCACGGTACCAGGATATTTTTAGTTGATGTAATCTTTCCTGGGGCATCACAGTATCACAGGAAAATTGAGGTCTAAACTGTGATCAGAGGTATATAGAAGTTTGCTCCCACATACCATGTCCAGACCTCCTTGATAAGGCACAAGGCCATGAACAAGCACTAGTCACAACTTAATTATGAAAAGATTTTTCCTCAACAATTATACAGAATGGTCCTCAACATTAGTACATGTGTGTAGTACATAATGTTCACATTCCATTTGGGAAGATGGTACATGTATATAATACTTTTTTTATTTTAAAGATAATGAAAAACAAAAATGATATAGAATTTCAAAATGAGATGTTAGAAAATTAACACTGGTTATTATATTGCTTATTGTTATCATCCAAATAATTTCTCAGATTGCCTTATATAGGAACGCAAAATGATCAAACAATATAAGCACTAACTGTTCCTTTCAACACACGGATAGAATTAGTAGTACAATTATCTTATCTATCTTGTGTAAATATATTTCCCCTTTCCATTTTTCTACCTTTCCCCATTCTAATTGCTTTTACTTTTAAACAGTCAGATTTCATTGGTACCTTTCAGACATACATAGTGATCACATTCATTTAGAATGTTTGTACCTATACATGATATAACTTTTTCCCCATTCCTCTACTCCCCCTTCAACCCTCCTTCCCATCTCCATTTATAAGTTTGTTTCCCTGTTTTTCTTTCTTTTCTCATTTTTTCACTTTTTCTTTCTTTCATTTCTGCCTTCTCTTCTCTTTTTCCACTCCACATTTGAAGATTTCCTGTTTCACAGTATCTGTTATACATTTTGGTCCTTATTTACATTTTCAGTTTATCACACCATAGAAACAATGCAGTATTTATATATGTGCTCAATTTCACTTAAGAAAATGATCTCAACGTGCATGCAATTACCTACAAATACATTAAGCTTATCCTTTATGGCAAAGTAGTATTCCACTGCATTAAAAAATCACACACATCTTCTTTGTCCATTAACCAGTCGATGAGCATTTGGGTTGTTTCCAAGACTTGGTTATTAAAAACTGGGCTGCTTGTAAACATGAGTATGCATATATCACTGTCGTATAATGCATATAATTCTTTTGGAAAAGTGTCAAGAAGGGAAATAGCTGGGTCATATGGAACCTCTGATTTTGTTTTTTTGAGGAATCTCCACACTGATGTCTAGAGTGGTGGCAACAATGCTCCAACGAACAGTGGAGAAGGATTTCTCTTTCCTCAAAGCCCTGCCACCATATTTCTTGATAATAGCCATTCTTTCAGGGGTAACATGGAATTTCAGTGTTGTTATAATTTTCATTTCTAGAATGAAAAATGATGTCATATATGTCTAGACATCTTTTACAAGGCACAAGCCTTGGACAAGCCCTAGTCACAACTTAATTTTGAAAAGATTTTTCCTCAACAATTACACAGAATGGCCAATATTAGTACATTTGTGCAGTACATGATGTTTATATTGCATGTGGGAAAATGTTATATATATATATATATATATATATATATATATATATATATTTGCTGTTTGTACATGTTCAGCTGAGAAGTTTGTGTTCATATTTGACATCTATTTTTAAATAGGTCTTTAAACTTGGGGAGCTGACTTTTTTGAGTTCTTTATATATTCTATACAGTAATCCTTTGTCTGAGGCACAGTTGGCATTTTTTTCCCCTGTTGTGAGCTGTCCTTTCACTGTGTCAGTGGTTTCTCATACTGTGGAAAAGTTTTTAATAAGATGAGATCCAAGTTGTTGATTCTTTGTACTGGATCCTGTTTGATTTGGAATTTGTTTATGAAGTCTTTGTCTACACCTATATCTTCCAGTGTTCTATCTATTCTATATTTCAGCAGATTTAATGTTTCTGTTTTGATGTTTAGGTCTTTAATCTACTTCAATGTTAGTTTACTGCATTGATTTCTTTACCAAGAAACATGTGGGTCTAATTTTAATCTTCACCATGTGGGAAGCCATGTTCCCAGCACCATTTATTGAAGAGGCTATTTTTCTTCCATTGAATGTGTTTGGCACCTTTGTCAGAGATAAGTATCTCTGAAGTTATTTCTGGCCTGGATTTAGCTTAGTGGTGTAAGAGCCTGTCTGGCAAACACAAGGTTGTGAGCTAGATCCACAGTACCAAAAATAAATAAATAAATAAATAAATAAATAAATTCTTCTCTGAAGTTGCTTCTGTATCTTCTAAACTGTTCTATTGATTCTCAAGTCAGTTTTTGTTTTGTTTTATTTTGTTTCTCTTGCCAGTGTCATACTGATTTTTATCATAGTAGCTTTTAGTATAATTTCGAGTCTGTGATGGTGGTGACCCTGCATTGCCTTTTTGCTCAAACTTGCCTTTGGCTAGGTCTTATGATTTCAAATGAATTTTCGGATTGTTTTCCTCGTTCTGTGAGATACACTGTTGAAATTCTGATTGCCATTGAACTAAATCTGTATAACAATTTTGGAAGTATGCTCATTTTCAATATGGCAGTTTTTCTTACCCAACAGCAAGGGATATTCCTTGATTTTCTGATTATCATGTTCAATCTCCTTTTTTAGATGTGAAATTTTTAATTTAGATGTTTTTTTATTTCCTTCATTACATTGATTCCTATTTGTATTATTTTTTGGATGCTATCATGAAAGCTTTATTTTCCCTAACTTCTCTCTCAGTGAATTTTTTAAACACGTGTAGGACAGATATTGATTTTGAAATGTTGACTCTTTCTCCAGTTATGCTACTGCATTTGATTACTAAATTTAGAAGTCATTCAGAAGAGCTTTTCTATGTAGATAATCATGTCATCCTCGAGTAATGATAATTCAACTTCTTCCTTTCCTATCTGCATACCTTTTATTTGTCCTTTGTTATGTTCCTGACTTTAGAGTAAAAAGTTTCAGTTTTTGTCCATTTAGTATGATGTTGGTTTTTGTTATGCCATAGATTGCAGTTATGAGGTTGAGATAAAACCATTTTTGCAATTCTCTGTAGTGCTTTTTTAAAACATAAATGAGTTTTGGAATTGTCAAAAACTTTTTCTGCATCTATTGAAATGATCATGTGATATTTCATCTTTGGCTCTGTTTATATGCTGTATTAGATTTATTTATTTGTGCTTTTGAGCCATCCCTGATTTTCTGGAATTAATCCTACTTGGTCATGCTGTATGATTTTCTTGATGATTTACTGTATTCTGTTTCTTAGTATCTTATGGAGAATTTTTGCATTTAAGTTCCTTAGAAATTTTGGCCTGTGATTCTACCTTTTTTTTTTTTTTTTGGTGTTTTTCTGGTTTTGGTATCAGGGTAATACTTGCTTCCAGAAATGATTTAGGTACTATTGCTTCACTTTCAATCTCATTAAAGACTTTCAGAAGTATTGGTGTTAAATCTTCTCTAAATTTCTTGCAGAATTGAGCAGTGAATTCATCAGCACCTGGACTTTACTCTGTGGTAATTTTTTAGTTACATTTTTAATTTTATTAACTAATATTGGGTTATTCAGAAATACTATATCTTCTTGATTCAACTTTGGTAATTCATGCACAGCTAGGAAGTTGTCCATGTCTTCTATGCTTTATATCCTATTAGGCTAAAGATTTTCAAAGTAGGTATTGAATATTTTGTGAATTTCCACAGGATCTGTAATAATTTTGCCCTTTTCATTCATAATTGCATGAATTTGAGTCTACACTTTCTCTGATTTGATGAGATTACCTAAGGCTTTACTCATTATATTAAATGTTTCAAAGAACAAACTCTTCACTTCATTAGTTCTTTGTATTGTTTTCTTAGACTCAGTTGCATTAATTTCTTCTTTGATCTTCATAATTTACTCCCTTTTATGAGCTTTGAGCATAATATGCTTATCATTTGCTAGAAACTTGAGGTGTGTTATGTTTTTTATATGTGCTTATTCTATTTTGACGATGTGAAAATTCACCTATATAAGTTACTTCCTTAGAACTGCTGCCATTGCACCTCACATGTCCAACATGTTGTGTATCTGTATTTTCCTTTAATTGTAGATATTGTTTGAATTTTTATTTGGTTTCTTCTGTGACCCATTGGTTGTTCAGTAGGGTATTGTTTAATTTCTATGTATGTATGGAATTTCTGTAGTTTCTTTTGCCATTCATTGCCAATTTTCCACTGCATTATATCTAATAATATGCATGGATAATTTCACTTCCTTTGTGTTTTCTTAAACATGTTTATTGGCTAACATATGGTCTATTCTAAGGAACATCTCATATGCAACTAAGAATTTATATTCTGATTTTGTGGTATGGAACTCTCTGAAAACATCTACTAATTCCACTTACACGTTTGGCTCAGTTCTGATATACATTTGATGAGTTTTTTGTCTGTTTGACCTACTTCTTTGTGACAATGGGGTATTAAAATCCTCTGTTACAATTATTTTATTGTAGCCACTGCCTTTGAACCTCCCAGTCAGGCCTGCCTCCAACAGCATGCATCCTGCCAATTCCCTTGGACCTCCTGGCCCAGCCTACCTCCACCAGCAAACTTCCTGAGTGCCCCGCTGTCTGGCTTACTGCCTCCATTGGACCTCCCAGCCAAGCCCACTTACACATGAACACTTTGTGCATGACCCACCACCAGGGACGCTGCCAGAAGCTGTGCTCAGGTAATCCTCCCACCTCCTAGACCTAGTATTGCTCTTGATTTTCAGCTCCCATCCCTCCTCCCATAATCTTGCACTGCATTGGATTAACTGAGCTGGGTTAATGGGAGACTCAGTAACTTTTCACTCAAACAGAAGACTTCAACAGGCTCCAGTCAGTGTGGTGAGTTTGCCTCTAAAATAGAGGTCTTCAGTGTGTAAATAGAAGCAGTAGTAAAGTTCCCTTCAACTGTAAGACCTTGGTGAGCTTGGCAACATTTTGATGATTCCTTCCTGCACACAGAGAACATCAGACAGGTTGAGGAGTATGCCAATAGGGCCTCCCACAACTTGGAGCAAATTAAAATGGCCTAGGAAACACCTAGTGACATGTTAGGGCTTTAGTTGAGACAAACACAATAGACAGGGAGATCTGGTACCCTGGAGTAGCCTGAAGACATAGTAACACTATGAACAAATGGTAGAAGTACATTATTCCTAGGCTAGTCAGCACACCAAAAATATAGGACTCACCCAACAGGCCCTGAAGGAGGAATTTAGTTGACCGGCTCTCCTCTACAATGTGGTACTCAACAATTGGACAAACATCAACCACACAGTAGGACCCTAAGATATGTGTTAATGATACTTGAGATTATTGGGATTGAAAGACCAAATATTAGCCCAAAAATTGAAGATGACAAAATGAAAAAGCAAAGTGCAGTGTCAAATGTCTAGTACATCAGGGGCAAGTACAGGCAATATTGAAATAGAGGACTTTAAAAAGTTGTACACCAGAAATCTCTGAAAGATAGCAAGTGATATAAAGAAATACATCCATGAGGCTATAGAGGAAGTCAAATTAGAAATAGTTTCTCACCTAAAGACAGAAATAAAAGCCTTAGTAAAGGAGTTGCTCAGTATAGCTAGAGAAGAAATAGATTAAAAAAAAAAAACAAGAGTATCGGAAATTTGTTGAAACTTTGAATGAACAATATAGAAAAAAAGCAGAATACCTAAAATGAATTCAAAGAGATATATAAGAAATAAAAAATACTACTGAAAGCTGACAAATCATTTACATGAAGCTGAGGATAGAATTTCAGACCTTGAGGACAGGATCACAGTTAGGAATCATGAAAGGTTAGAACTTTTAAAAACAACAAAGCAGCATGAAATGACAATCCAGCAGGTTCAAGATGACACCAAGAGAAACAATATGAAATGAAAAGGCATCAGTGAAGCTGCAGGAGTCAGCATGAATGACATAGGTAAACTATTCACAGAAGTAATAGCAGAAAACTTCCCAAACATGGGCAAAAATCTGATATACACATAAGTGAGACATATAGAATGCCAAACAATCACAACCAACATAAGTCTACAGCCAAACATATAATAATTAGGATCCTACATATACAACATAAAAACAGAATACTAAAAGCTGTTAGAAAAATGATACAACTCACCTATCAAGGAAAGACCATTAGAATCACAGTAGACTTTTCAGCACAAATGCTCCTGTTAAAACAAGCTTGGAGTGAAGTACTTCCAATCCTGAAATAAAACAACTATCCACCCAGACTGATACACCCAGAAAAACTCTCTTTCAACTTTAATAGAAAAATTAGATATTTCTATGTCAAACAATGACTGAAGAAATTTATGTCCACAAAAAGAACCCTAGAAAGAGTACTGAAATACGTACTAGATGGAGATAAAAATGATTTCAATCACTAGAACAACAGAAAGATACCACCAGATAGGGGCTAGGAATTTAGCTCAGCAGCATAAGCACCTTGCAAGCAGGTGGTCATGAGTTTGATTCCCTGCACTGATAAAAAGAGAGAAAAAAAAAGAAACCACCAGATAGGAAAAGCAATTAAACAAGGGGAAAAACAGAAAGTAAACAACTGGAACATAACATGGCAAAATCAAGCCAGTACACATCAATTATACTCATAAATGTAAATGGTCTCAATTCACCTATCAAAAGAAATAAGTTGACAGAATGGATCATGAAACAAGATCCCACAATATGCTGTACTAAAAAAACACACACACACACATAGCACAAAGACAGGGATCCACAAGAGAAAAACTCAGCAAAGAAATATTAGAACTGAATCATGTCCTTGAGAAAATGGACTTAGTAGGTGTTTACAGAGTGTTCCACCCAACCACATCAGAATATACATTCTTTTCAGCTGCACATGGGAAATTCTCCAGGATGGATGACATATTAACTCATAAAATATTCTTAAGCAAATGCAAAGGGATTTATTATCCCATGCATAATATCTGACCATACTACACTGAAATTGGAAATCAAGGGCAAAATAAATTGCAAAATCTGCATAAATACATAGAAATTAAATAACAACCTTCTGAACAACCAGGGGGTTACAGGTGAAATTAAACAAGAAATAAAGCAATGCCTACAATTCAATGAAAATATGGATATTATACACCATAGTCAGTGGGACACAATGAAAATGGTCCTAAAAGGGAAATATATGCAATAAATAGTCACATAAGGAAAATGCAATGAGCACAAAAAAAAAAAGTAAAGCTTCATCTCAAGCTTCTAGAAAAAGAAGAGCAAGTCAAACCCAAAGCTCACAGAAGGGAGTAAATTGTAAAATCAGAGCAGAAATTAATACAATAGAAATTTAAAAATACAAACAAATAATGAATCAACAAGCTAGTTTTGGGAGAGAATAAACAAAATTATCAACCTCTAGCCAACCTTATCAAGAAAAAGAAAGAAAATACTTAAATTCATGCACTAAGTAAGGAAAAGAGGGAAAATTACTACCCATCCCATGGAAATTCAAAAGATCATAATACCTACTTTTAAAATATATACTCACATAGAATGGAAAACAGAAGAAATGAACAAATTTCTAGAAACATATGAATTATGAAAGCTCAATCAAGAAGATACAACAAATTTTCATGGCCCAGTATCAGCTACTGTAATTCAAAGCATGATTAAAAACTTATCAGCAAAGAAAAGCCCAGTTCCTGATAGATTCACAGCTAAATTCTGTAAGAAATTGAGAGAAGACTTGACACCAATACTCCTTAAATTCTTCAATTAAATTGAAAGGAAAGAAGTGTTCCCTAACTCATTCCTGGAAGCAAGTATCAATCACTCTGATATCAAAAGCAGAAAAAGACCCACCCAAAAATGAGAACTATAGGACAATATCACCAGTGAACACTGATGCAAAGGTTCTCAATAAAATACTGACAAACAGAATGAGGCAAATTTTCAAAATATCAACCAAGAGGGATTGATTTCAGGAATGCAGAGATGTTTAAACACGTGCAAATCAATAAATGTAATACATCACATCAACAGAGCCAAAAACAAAAGTCACGTGATCCTCTCAATAGATGCAGGAAAACCTTTTGATAAAGTCCAACAGTTATTCATGATAAAATCCTACAGAAACTCAGAACAGATGTTATTTATCCTTAATCTCATGAAGGTCATCCATAAAAACCAACATTTAACATTATAGTAAATGGACAAAAATTGAAAACCTTCACTCTAAAATCAGAAATGAGACAAGGATGTCCACTATCACAATTCCTATTCAATATAGTTCTGGAAACATTAGCTAGAGCAATCAAGAGATAAAAATAAAAGAAATAAACATAGGAAAGGAAGAAGTTAAATTATGATTATTTGCAGATGACATGATGCTTTATAGAGAACAACCAAAAAACCCATTAAAAGATTACTAGAGGTAATAAATTCAGCTGTGTAGCTGTATTCAAAGTAAACACTCAAAAATTAATAGCATTCTTGTATACAAACCAAAACTCGCTGAGAGAGAAATTATTGAAATATTGCCTATCACAATAGCATCTAAAAAAATGGAGTACTTACGAATCAACCTAACCAAGAATGTAAAAGACCTATATGCTGAAAATTATGCTATGCTTAAAAAGGAGATTGAAGAGGGTATTAGAAAATGGAAGGATATTCCTTGCTCTTGGCTAGGAAGAACCAACATTTTGAAAATGGCCATACTTCCAAAACCATTATACAGATTCAACGTAATCCCAATCAAAATATCATTAATATACCTTACAGATCTAGAGAAAACACTCCTAAAATTCATTTGGAAACAGAATAAACCTAGCATAGCAAAGGTGATTCTGGGCAAGAAAGGTAAGGCAGGAGGTATCTCAACTCCTGACTTGAAACTGTACTACAAAGCCCCAATGAAAAAATCAACATGGTAATGTCAAAGAAACAGACTTGAGGATCAATGGAACAGATTAGATAATGAAAACACAACTAAAAAGACAATCAACCACCTTATACTTGACAAAGAGTCTAAACACGCTCAATACAAGGATAGCCTCTTTAATAAATGATATTAGAAAAATTGGCTTTCCAAATCCTGAAGAATGAAACTAGACCCATGCCTATCACCATGCACTAAACTAAAGTCAAAATGAATTCAAGATCTGAATATTAAAACAGAAACACTAAGTATAATGGAAGACAAGAAAGGTAGAAATTTTGGAGACTTAGATGTAGGCAGAGAATTCATGAACAAAATGCAAACCACATGAGAAATACTTCAAAGAATCAACAACTGAGATCTCATATTATTAAAAGTTTTTGCACTTCAAAAGAAATCACCAACAAAGTGAACAATAATCCCATAGGATGGGAAAGAATTTCAGCTGACAGTCCCCCAGACAAAGGATTTATATCCAGAACATATAAAGAATTGAAAAATATCAAGCCACCCAAATTCAAAGACCCTCTCCAAAATTGGGCATCCGAGATGAACACACATTTCTCATATGAAGATACATAAATGGCAAATAACTTCATGAAGAAATGTTCACCATCATCGGTCATTTGAGAAATGTAAATTAAAACAGCATTGAAATTTCATCTCACTTTGGAAAGAATGGCTGCCATCAAGAAATCAAGTGTTAACAAATGTTGGCGAGGCTGTGGGGGGAAAGGAAAACACTTCTCCACTGTTGGTGGGAGTGTTGACTGTTATAGCCACTATAGAAATCAGTATGGAGATTCCTCAACAAATTAAGATTGGAAGTTCCATTCAATTCAGCTATTCCCTTCCTGGGTATTTTCCCACAAAAATTTAAAAGGTCATGTCACAGTGATATATGTGCACCCATGTTTATAGCAGCACAATGTGTAATAGCTAAATCTTGGAAACAAACAAAATGCCTATCAACTGCAGAGTGGATGAAAAATATGTGGTATTTTTATGCAATGGAATAATACTAAGCTATAAAAAGGATGATCTTGAGGCCATTATAGATAAATGGAGGCAACTAAAGTGAAATTTATCCTCATAAGTGAAATTAATAAGACTAACATTTGTGAATATCACAGTGTCATTCTAGTGTAAAAATAATAAAAACTGAAAGAGTAATAAGATCCAAATTGTGTCATAGATATTGTAAAAATGAAAGTGAAGCAAAGTGCTCTAAAGGATATAACTGTATGTCTGTGTAAGTGTGTAACATAGATGACCATTTTTCTAAGTTTTGCTGGATCATTTAACAAAATATTTTGCACTGTCAAGAACTGAATGTCTATCCACTTTTTATGCTTTTATTTTGTAACTTGAACAACTATTTCTAAGATGACAATATGTAAGTTATCAACTAGTGATTTCTTAATGTTTATATATTTTTTGAAATTCTGTATTATTTTAACCCATTTTTCTGTTTTTTTCTTTATTCTTTAAATAAAAAACAATTTTAGTGCTTATCTGATTTTTTAAATCAGTTAATATTTGTTGTATATAGTTTGGTACTCTCATATTTGGTGCCTACATATTTTATGCTTATTACCTCTTTAAAATTTTTCTTCTAACAAGTTTATAGTACATTATCTCTTTTGATTATTGTTGGTTTGAAGTTCATATTATTTGTAAACAGAATCACTATCCTTGTTTTTTTCTGGGCTGATGTTAAGTGGAATATTGTTTTCCATCCTTTGACTTTTAGTCTATGAATTTATTTTAGTTTTAAATGTGTTTCTTGTATACAGCACATTGTTGGATATTGTTTCTTGATCCATTTTTTCCAGTCTGTTTCTTTAGACTGGTGAATTGAGGCCATTTATATTGACAGTTATGTGATATTTATTGGCTTAACTTTGCAATGTTTTTTCCCTGTTGTTGGTTCTCTGATTTTTCCCTCTGTTTAATTGCTTGCCTTGCCTGATAGTTTTTTCTCTGCTGTTGTTCTTGGAATTGTGGTCACTTTTATCTGTGTAAAAAATGTTTCAATATCCTACAGGGTTGGTTTGCTGTTCATGAATTTCTTTATATATTCTTTGTCATGGAAATATCTTATTTCTCTATTAATTTTGAAAGAGAGTTTTCCAGGGTCTTTAGTATGGGTTGGAAGTTATTTTGTTTCCTTACTTTAAATACTCGACTCTAAGGTCTACGTGACCTAAGAGTTTGTGTTGAAAAGTCTGCTGTGATTATGATGGGCTTTTCTTTATGGATGATCTGTTTCTCCCCTGTAACCATTTTAAAGATTCTATTCTTGTGCTGAACTCCTGAGATCTTGATTATTATATGTCTGAGTATAGATTTATTTTGGTCATGACTAATTAAAGTTCTATATGCATCACTTATATGTATATCAGACTATTTTCTCATGCTTGGGAAATTTTTGACTGTTATTTGTGAAAATAGATGTTTTATGTTATTTGCGTCATCTCCTGCTTTTTCTTTGATAGCAAGCATTCTTATATTATTTTCCTTTACATGGTCTTGCAGCTGTTCAATTGTTATTTCCTGATCCCTTGTGATTTTTAAGACACCTTTTCTGTCATGACAACTATTTGTGATCTAGTCTTCAAGGTCTGAAACTCTATCTTCAGTTTCATTCAAGTAGTTTTGCCAGCTTTCAATGAAATATTTAATTTCCTGCATATGTGTTTGAATCCATTTCTTGAATTTTATCTCTTTCCTATATTGTTGTCTTAGCATTTCCATAATTTTCCTATGTTTTTCTATTTTTTTCTTTGTGTACTATAGATTTGCTGTTTTTCCTTCCTTTTTGTTGTCATTTCTTTATTTCCTTAGAGATTATTTTTTATTTGATTGTTTTCATATCCTTGTGGCTTTGTTTCTTTACTTCAGGTGCTATGATTCAGAAATTTCAGATGTGTTTCTTCCATTTTACTCTACCTTCTTGTCTCTTTGACTTGTTTTAGGAGGGCTGGACCTCACACACTGTGTTTTGCTTCTATGTCTTTTCAGTTTTTGCTTCAAAATTTTTTTCTTATGGATGCTGATAT